CCTCATGAGATCAGATGACATCAAGAGTGGATCGTTCCCATCCCTGAAATTCTCCAGGAGAGTCGAACAAAATCTTGATCTCACTTCGTTGCTCCGATCGCGAATTGCGGTCTTAATCTAATTAGAATCTGACGGCTGATTTTCAAGACCTCAAGGGGAAATACGCCATGAGATCGTCGATCGAAAGGGCCAAGCGAGGCTTGAGGGGAACAGCTCGTGAGAAATGGAATGAGACTCCACGGAATTGGATGGAAAGAGAAATCGGTAAGCCAAAAAGCCATAAAATTTCAGAAACTTCGCCCAGAGTCCAAATGAAGGAGAGCTAGGCGAGGCGTTCAATCAGGAACTCTTTTGTATCCTCGGATTAAGAGCTGGTGAGAGGCATTCAATGCCAGACATGCGAATTACCATAGGATCTTCATTCCCTCCAATCGTTAGTGATGAAGACTAATGGAACTCTCTCTTTCCTCTTCCTTCCCCCTTTTTTTTTTCCTCCTACAGCCATATCCGATCCTTCCAATACCTCTTCTCCTCCTCCTTCCACCTATGACCTTCTAAGGACTCAGCGATCAAGTTAGAAGGGTGAACGGTACTTCGTCTCCATCGGTTCTGCCGATCTGGTGACGCCGCGATGACACCGACAGCATGTTTTGCGCAATTCAATATACGGGGAGCGTAACGAGACACATGAAGATGGGTCACGGGTCATTAGTGAGGCCTTTGGACCCGAGGTCGTTAACAAGCCCAGTTGCTCGTATGCAGCTGTGCTGACGTGCTATCATAATTTTCGTAGGTCCTGGGGTTTTGAGACCTGGCCCTGGCATTGAAATCCTTCGTTCCGCGACCTGATCACCTTTCACACGAGGGGATGTTTTGTAGAGTAATGGACTGAAAGAGTCCATGAGGAGCCCATTAACGCCAGCGCCAGGCCCTGGGTTTGATAAACTTCACATGTTGTGTCCCTGTGCGGTTCATGGTGGGCCTTTGCTGGATGGCATTTCCACTCTGATGCCCCCTCCCCCCCTTGCTCCCTTTCATACCTATACTGAACCCTGTTTTTTTTTTTTCTTTACCGTCGCTGGAGCACTATAGGGTTACGGTTGTCTAGTGTGATGCAAGCTTTTTACAAATGACCGAGGGACCCAGTCGGCCACCTGTGACTATCGTGTAAATGGGGCCTCTCTACCTCTGTGCATCTTCTATGCGTATGATGGCCAACGACAGCGAGGCAACCAGGTGGAAGAAGAAGGCTTGAATGAAAACAGGTCCCCCTCCGATTCGTTGCATCGCCTCACTTGAATACAGTCCTATAGGGAAAGTCGATTCACGACTTGTACTCGAATCCAAGCCCTCTTGAGGCGATGAGACTAACATTCCGCCTGCTGTAAAGGAGGGCTGGGGATTATTTAGGGGATGTAATTATTAGGAGATGTAATCAGTGGGCGATGAATAAGGGCTCGTGTCGAGAACTCATCTGCAAACTTCGCGATGATGCATGCAGCATGCAGTGAGGAAAGTTCTGCGGAGGGAGGAGAGCATCTCGGGTCCACCGTGGATCCCAAGGGTTGTCCTGCGACTCTGCACGTATCCGAGCCGAAAGGGATGCTTATTGGATTCCCCGTCCTGTCCTGTCGTCTGCTGGCAGGGCGAGATAAATGACCCTCACTCCAGAGCAAAAGGGAAGGGGACGCATCATTTAATTAGGTAACTGAGGGCCTATAAAATTAATTCTCGTGACGATTGCTCTCTATTCTCCATCGGGGACAATGAAGATATATTCTCGCATGTGTTTATGGATCCCCTTGTGCTGGAAATGGACAAGCTCGAGAGGGGGGGTTGCATGGAACCCAGATATGGGCTCTGAGGACCATTAGAGACCCTCTTCCTCGTCCTCTTCATACGTATTAATTATCTCTCCCTTTCTCTTTCCTGGACTCTTCTCTAGAACCTCGTAACGGGTGATCCTGCAGTACATCCAGTACATTCTTTGGGCCTGCATTCTCGTTAAGATAACGAAAGTGCAGCACCACTGAGAAAGCGTTCTTATCTGCAAATCCATGGTAAATTTTTTCCGAGTGAGTTTGCCTGAGCTAGGATAAATTAACGTGTTACCGAAGGCCAGCAAATGAAAGCTCTGAGAAACGCATTATATAATGAGTTGAAGAGCATTAATTTCAACAATTCTAAAATGTTCATTTAGAGAGCAGCATGAGACTGCCTCTTTGCTTCCTTGAGGGCCCTCTCCTTCCTCAAAGGGAATTCAGAAAAATACATGCTTATGAGCATTACGGGCTGCAGAAAGTCAGTGCTCGCCGACTTCCGCAGTGAAAGTTCGACTTCCCGACTGAGGTTGGGGGAATCGTCCCTTGACTTACGCTTCGACGGACTTTGGTCGATCCATCACGTCCATGCGATAATGTAGAAATAATCATTTTATCTTCCCGCGAGTTCTGTTCTAACCACAGTTTCGAGTCCGAATTGCACGGCATCTGCTGCTGTTAGGTTGTATGGGCATTCGTTGGAAGCACTCGTCTTGGGTACTTGGCACGAGCGGTACTGGCAGCGGGCAAAGCCGTTGACACTCTCTGGATTGAAACAAAGATGACAACTTTTCCTCTTTCCCATCTCTCCCTTCTCTTTCATAAAGGTTCTGATGAGTTTGCTCTCAAGGAAAGAGTCGAGTTTAATTACTTTTTTCTCACGAGATAAGATGCGATCCCAAGGAACCCAGCCTCGTAGTTCTGCTTACAATGGAGAATATGAATCTCAAGCCGAGCATAGCGAAGAGACTTAGCCGTTCTTAATCTCGGTTCACATTTTCAATGAAATCACATCCGCGAGCTTTTCCGGTACATTTCCCTTAGACGACCTTTGATGATCTTTCCGCGACGTTTCATCCGCACGCACTCGATAGGCAGAGGCGGAATGAAAATTGACCCTCTTCATTTCCAAAGCTCAAGGGTGAAAGTGGTCGGGTGTTGACACTGAGAGCAAGAAACAGGAAATCCCAAACGGAAGTGGACAAAGGGGCGTCCCTTCACACTTCATCCATCGGGCTCCCGAATTTTGAAAAGGGTTTCTTCTCGGGGAGCCCCCCTTTGAAGCGCGATTGTGTTCCGGACCCCCGGCCGGAGACCCCAGAGCCGTGATTTGAAAAGCCCGTAGGTGGCGTCATTCTGGGCGCTCGCAATTCAATCTGCTCCGTGGCTGCGGAAGGCCGTTCATATCGCCCCCTCTCGATTCATTTGATCGTGGTGGGATATCCCTCGGGTTTCCGGGTCGCTTCGGTCCTCGCCATGAGGTCGGGCAAACGCCGGCTACGAAGCCGTGGGAGGTCCTCAAATGTACGGCAGGGTCCGTTCGTCCGATCGTGTGGAGTTAAGGTATAAAAATAAATGAGGTTCCGTGAGGATTGGAGACGAGATGATGACGAGGAAGAGGATGATCGCATTTGCGGCGATCGCATCTCCGTGCTCAAGCGCGTCAGTTCATTACGAGCCTTCCTTTCTTCCTTTATCTGGTTCACCTGGGATCGCATTTTGATATGCGGGATGCGAATCCCGGCATTGAGATGATGAATAAACGGCTCAGAGGTGGAGCCCGGGGCTAAAGATGGGAGCTCATGACGTCCTCCCTAAGTCTATGTGCTTAGGTGTATAGCATACGTATAGGTTCCAGGTGTGGTGGTCGTGAAGGGGAAGTCATTCGTCAAGATTTGAAAAGCTCCCAAATCCGATTATTTTCCAGGTTCTTAGTCCACTGAAAGGGGCACACCCGGCTGCCTTTTGTCGCCGCCCTAAGCAGTAACAGATCGCTTTGCTATCCTCCCGAAGTTTGCAGGATCTTTATTTTCGCTTCTCGAGTTTCTCGTCCAGATCGGCATATCGTTTCTGAGGTGAAATGGCAATCAAGCCTCCAGGGTCTCGTTGTCAGACCCAGATGGGAGTTAAAAAACGGGTTAAATGACGTGAAAAGGCTGAAAACGAGAATTGGAGGCAAACGTTGTTCATTCAGTCGCCTTGCTACCGAGCCGCCCTTTTTCTTCCGGTAGCCTCGCCTGCAATGCAATTAGCCCATTGAGGTGGTTCTATTCAATCCTCCATTATCCGACCATTAGTCGTCATCGTAGGGACAGGTCTATAGAGATGCAGAGGATTAAAAGTCCTTTCAATTGATTTTGACTAATGGTCCGGATTTAGATGGCCTCATTAGCCCACAGCTCCGGTCTCGCTCTTTTATATCCCTCTGCTTTCTTCGTACATCCTTGACGCAAATAGACAAGACGAGCCTTCCGGATGAGGCGAATGAAGACTATGGATGAAGTGAAATCTTCATGCTCTTAGATCTTTCCGACATAAACTGTCTTGACTGTCCACGGGAAGAACAACTTCAGACTCTCGTGAATCTTTTGCATCTTCGCAGTTTAGATACCCGAAAATGGATATGGTTTAAAAGATGAAAGGCTCAAGGAAATGGGATTATATTGAACAGTTGTTTTTTTCTCATTAAAAATGCGACGCTTTTATTAAGGGCATTACTCCAAATGAGACTCGTTGCTGACTTCGTAGAGGGAAAATCAGTTTCATTTCTTTTCTCTTTCTCCTTGAAGAGAGTATTTGCAATTAGAAGTTTGAGTCATTGCAGATTTAAAATACTTAGCCGCCAAATGCCCCAAAGGTGCGTTTCTCAAAGGGGCCAACCTCCAAGTGAAAGGGTTAAAAAGGCGTAGCGAGCCGCCTAAGTGTTCATGCGAGAGAAGGGAAATCACGAGAACTAATGAGGCTTTCTCTGCGGAAATGATGGCTCATTAAACGCCGTTTATGACGCTCTGACTACATTGAGACTGTGATAGTGTTACAGGGAGGGCGGAGTCTCCGGGCCCGCCTCCAATGGGGGCACGCGGATCCGAATGAGAGAACCAATCAATGGGAGAGCCGAGACCCCGCCCCTCCGCATGGTCGAGGTGTTGATACCGTATCGGGGAAACCACATGCGGCACTTTTCCTTCTCTTGCTCTCCTGCTTGTTGCTGAATCTCGTGCTCCTGATCTAAGGACACCTAGAAACGTTTTCGGTCCGGCGGAGGTGCGAGTGCGTGCGTGCGTGATCTCCATGTCTTGGGCGTGATTCTCCCGGACTCGTCAAAACGGCTACCAGCGACAGCACATCGAGTGGCAGCTGTAGCTCTGCCGAAATTCCGTGTTCGGGGACCACGAACATGTTGGACAGTCCCTATCAGACTTCTCCGAACTCTTCTCCCATGTTGTCCATACTCGACAGGCAAAACTTAATGCTGGGGAACCCCCAGCTAGCAGCTCTGCACTCCATGGCAGACGTGAAAGCTGCTTATGCCCAAGCTCAGCAGGCGTTCAAATGCCCGACGACGACTTCGGCAGCGACCACACCCCACAGTATAGACCAGATCTTGGGCAGAGGCTCGATGGGTGCGAGCTTGCCCCTCATGGCAGTTCCACCCCGACTATCAGTGGGCTCCACGGCGGCATCCATGTATTTGAACCCGGCTGCTGCTGCCGCTGCGGCCGCTGCTTCTCTTGCTGGGAAAGGCGGGACTTTAGCAGAATTAGCCACAAGACATGGTGTTTACTGGCCCGGATTGCAAGGCATGCTTCAAAACCCCTCAGTGTGGAGAGAACGCCTCGGCCTCTCAGCATTCTCGCCTGGTGAGTTTTTATTCGAAAAAATACTAATAAAATTCTGCATGTGAAATCAAGCACTAGCAGCTTTGCTCATGTATCACATTTAATAGATATATACCATGGGCATCATGACCAGCTGCTATCTGTGTGGATGGGAAGCTGTCCATGTACATACGACTGACGCTGCGTTCCCTGACTCACAAAGGGAACAATTTCTGTGAAATCATGTGACGCCCATATGCGATGTTGACGTTCTCGCATTTCTGCGAAGAACTATTATTACTTGCTTGCCATCGACGCACATTACTCGTGACATGATGGTGTATATACAGTTCTGAGTAGTATGACGATATTTTCACTTTTGTCATGCATGATGTTTACCCTCACTCGTGGATATGATGCCTTGCAGACGCTTCGCATGAGGATCACGAGGCATTTAATGAGATATGATCGACAGAATAATATTTTTATTGGCCTCATTGCTTTGCAGTGTTGCGCATGGACCGGGTTTTTCCCGCCTTCGGTCGTGTATTTGTGCTTTCGTTGCTGCTCTTCCAACACTCTCATACAATGGAGCTCTTTAGGCTCTTCAATTTTACATGCAAATTTCTCGTTTTAGGAGCCCTTGAATCCTCATTCATGCGATGGGAGCACTTGAATCTCAACATCGCTTGTATTCTCTCGAATCTCAATAATTTCTCATTCCCAAAGTCACAATAGGGTACATAATAGGGACCCGATGCAAAGCGAGATATGAAGTCAAAGCATCGATTCAATTAGCTTTGAGGAGTATGCATTGAGAGCGGGAAATCCCGATTATAATACGATGCAGGCAGGGCGCCGGGCGAGCGTCACTGTAGAGGAGATGGCTCATCAGAGCCCGCACGTGCCGATGAAGAGAAGGGACCCCATAAACGAGGGATTGAGTGCAAACAGGGAATCTCGCCAACAGCCCGTTTTATGTCGCCGGAACTGCGATTACGTGTAGGATATAGGGCGATTAAACGACACCATAATTGGCTATGGTCAAACACCGTGTCATATTCGTTTCCCTCCCCCCCCTTTCTCTCGCCTTTCGGACGGCCTCTCGCTCCGCACACGCAACAGTTTTCACTGCTTCGAGATATAAAAAGTCCGTTTATAGCGAAGGTTTATTACATGGAATTCGACGATAAACTCCAGCCCTCAAATCTCCCGACTTGTGGTCTTCAGTTTTTATTTCTATACAAGGATTTCCCGTTGCAGCTGATAGTCTTCTTCCTCTCCAAGTGTCATAAAATTGCCTGAAATAAGAGAGCCTTGTGATAACACGGGCTGACGTTGAAGTCTCGAGTGTCTGACTGTATTGGACGGTTTAGAATTAATTATAGTTTATTAATTTTAATTATAGTTTAGTGGTCATGTTGATAATGAGAGGTTTCTTTTCCTGTGCTGTCTCGTCGCACGTCTTACTCTTGATTGCCACAGCAGGGCTAAGTTTGGATACCTCCTTCGGGCTGTGATGAGATGAGGTAATAAATGTTTAGCAGAACTGTGTAAATACATGATGTAAGACGCTTGAAGCAGCCTGGACTCAATCAAATCGAAGGTGAAGGAGTTGTTGTTTGACGTCGGTCTGACCCTTCGGCAATGCGGCAGGGTCACCAATCTAAAGTTTCTCAAGTTCCTAAGAGGAATCATACGTAGTTGGCATATTTTTCGATGACGATGCACAAACATGTTTGTAAACGAGAAAGTGGGAAAGTAAAGGAAATTGATGACGTTCGCGTATCTCTTCTTCCCCTCCCCCGGTCTGAAATCCCTTTCCCGGAACTTGACCAGGACCGGAAGTCGCTGCAACTCGGGGTCCTCGAGCTGCTTCGAAAAAGACCATGAAGTTCCATCGAATGTCTGCAGTCAAGAAGTCTTGCGATCGTGTAAAGTATATTTTGAGAGATCTCAAGTGGGGGGTTTACGCGCGCTATCACATCTACATTCTTGTTTTATTCAGAGGGAGATGGAATGAAGAAGATTCAGACAGACTAGAACAGGAATGGAGTTTGGTGCCCGTTATTATCTTGGTGCCCGTTATTATCTGCCTCAGAATGCGTTTGGAAATTAGTCTCGCAGGGATATTTCACGCTTCGCGCGAGAACCGACCCCCCCCCCCCCGCCCCCCCACCTCCCTCTCTCCCTCCCCCTCCCCCTCCCCCCACCATCTCTCTCCCTGCAGCTCACCGAGGGGGTTCATGCGAGCGGGGTATCAATAAACGCTACATGTTTACTTTCTGCTTTACAGGATACTGTGCAATGTATGCTTTGTCTTAACTGTAGTAATTCCATTAATTTTGACTGTACAATCGAGGCATAATTTGAGTTTTAAAAGAAAACCTTTATCGAACTTTATTGTCACAGTGTATTTGTCACAGCGTACAATCCTGCGATGCAGCCATGATTCACTCACTATCTCGACGGAAAGTCTACAGGAATTCCCGCTTGAGTAAAGTTGGTGACATATTGATAATGCATGCAAACGGAACTGCCTGTATCAGAGTGTCTGCAACTAACTGCAAATGGATTTTATATACGATCATTGGAGGAAGGGGAGAAGAAAAAGATGCCGAAGGTGTACTGGATTCCCGGTGCGTCCGCGAAACTGCGAAGAGCCTCTCACCTCACAGCCTATAGACCAATAAAGGCATTTGGTTGTAAAGCCCCATTGATGCCAGACGGGTCTGGAGCTCTCGTCGCTTCTGATAACGGCCGACGGAATGCCAGGGAATGCAATGAATTGTGAAGGGCGTGAAACCGTGGTAACTTTTGCAACACCGTTTACAGTAAGAAATTCCGATCTCGGCCAATCTCCCTGCGAAGCCGAAGTAAGGCGTGTGAATGTTCGATATGTGCGTTCGATAAAAATCGGTTCTCATGGGGGATGAGTCACTATACTCATAGAACGACCTACACGTTTCCCAAGCGTCTAGGAATGCCTTTGTCCCGATTTTGATTCCTCTGCTGCCCACAAAACTGGTTGCTGTAAGCTGCCTACAGCAGCCTTGAGGACCCATAAACGCCTGAAGGGAAAAAAAAATGTAACTCCGCTCGGGCGGGACAGAGAGAGTTGCCATGCCATTCCGCGTCATGAAATGAAAGGGAATAACCTTGTTGCTTGCAGACAATTTTCTCGGTGCCTATGGCCAATTATGCAGAACAGCTCTCCGGAACGAAACACCCCAGTCGTAAAGCACAACGTTCCTGGCCGAACAAAACAAACATGATTTTAGGCTGTTTTACTACGCCGTCATTTATGAGAAATAAAGTGCTTCTAGAGGAAGGTTTTACTGCCTCGTTCCCTGTGTGGCAATGCCATGAGAGGCGCTGCAAAAACTCCTCAAGCTAATAGACGTTGAGGAAATAAACGCCGGCTGTCTACACGTGCATGGGGGCCTGTATTTCCTCTGCATATGATCACTTCGCATAAATATGCTGGCCTCATTTCCCGCCAGACGATATTGAGGCCACAATTGAGTGGCATTGTGCGGCTTGTGCACTGTTGGGAAAGAGGCGATGGCGATGAGGACATTCAGCATCCTTTATGGTTGCATCATCTTGGGGATGGTGCTAGCTGCTGACTCGTGCTTTATGTTTGGGATTTGAAAGGCAAACAATGTCTGTAGTGTGACTATTTCCGGACTGGCACGCATGACAGTAGCTAGACTTGTCAACGGACGGATGATAACCGAGTTTGTTCCCTTCTTTTCAGGTGGTCACGGTCTCACCGATAAAGACGGGAAGAAGAAGCACACTCGACCCACTTTCTCGGGGCAGCAAATTTTTGCCCTGGAGAAGACATTCGAGCAGACCAAATACCTAGCTGGACCCGAAAGGGCCAAGCTCGCCTACGCCCTCGGCATGACCGAGAGCCAGGTCAAGGTGAGTTCATTCACACGTATATCGCATAAGGCAACGTTCTTTGAGCGCAAGGACTCTTGTAATGAGAAAAAAAGGAAAGGCGTGAAGTTCAATTAGTCAAGAGGCGTCCATTTGAAAGGAATCGGGTTTGATTGATGAGACATGGCGCCCAGGAGGTGGTGCCAAGACACCGATTAACCACATGATGAGGAATGGCGATTTAGCATAACAAAAGGTAGGGGGATATACAGAGTTTGATATCTAATGGGGCAGGCGTCCTCTCCTGTCATCCCCGGTTGCTACAGATGCTCTCCCTATCCCCTACCCCGTATCAGTCCCTCATCGCACTCACTCACTCTCGTTCCTCTTTTTCACCTAATCCAGGCGGAAGGCTTCCATTTAGATCGTATTTCGACAAGACAGCCTGAACCACTGAGAGGCAGAAGATAAAACGTCACCAATGCGTCAAAGGGGACAAAATCTGTTGATGTTGATCGATGTGGGAGACTCATGGAGATGCGGGACGGTTCCCCCACATATATCCCCGGGCAAGGGGAGGGAGGTCTCAATGGTATCATTGGTGCTACAGCGTCCAAGCAGAATTAGGGGAGAGAGGACAGATCCATCTATATATGGATGAATGGCGTCCCTGACCAGGCATAGAAAGATGATCTGATGCTCCGAAGATGAGTCTTTTAATCAGAGGGTGTCTGTCCCCAGAGGTCAGATTAAGACTTCAATTCCCTCCTCCTTCCCTCCCGATGAACATCTCCCTCATCTTGTCTATTTCTCTCTCGTGTTTTTCATCTGCTTTTATGGGACTCCGGGGCGAATGACTTCTCCACCTTGTTATTGCTCTCTTGTGGCTCCTATCATGAGAAAGCCTCCTGTGAGACGTGTGAGTCTGCAGGAGCTACCTCCTCGTTTCCTTTCCTTACCCCTTCCCCTCCCCCCCTCCTCCCCCGCCTCTTGGCCCCCTGTCTCCCCATTTTCTGTCACTATTTGCTTTCCTTCCTAGAGAGGGCTTGGTCAAAGATGGAAGGGAGGTGCCGAGCTCTAGCGGAAAGGGTCTTTATCTCTTCATTCCCCTCTAACCGAATTAAACTTCGAGAGAAGGAGAGGGAAGCCAGGAAGAAAGGGATGTCAATTCATCAAAAGCTATCCCATGACAGGCTTTTAGAATAATTTCATTTGCTTTTCAATTCCTTGGAATCACGAGCGGGGAGATTTCTAATCTTCTGTATAATAAAGAGGCGCGTGGTTTAAAAATAAGAGAAAGAAGAGATATAAAGATATGATGAAATCCTTTCTCCCTCTCCTCAAGTGCCTGCCATCTCATATAAGGGCGGGACATTTCATTTGATGGGAAAAGACCCTTCTCCCCCTCTCTCTATCTCCCTCTTGCTCCTCTCTTTCTGGCTCTCTTCCCTGGAGTTTGCAAGTGATGAAAACGTGAGAGATGCACAGGCATGGAGATGGCCCCTTTTTGCTTTTGTACACGTTGCATCAATATCACGCTTGGCAATCTGTATATCGTGCTGACTCGTCCTCATGTATGAATTCCACTTGGGGAAAGTCTTTCCATTTCTCATCCTCGTATCAGATGAGCACTTGCGTCAGCCGCTAACAGAGGAGCCCTTTGCATGGATTTTTTTGTGAACAATTTATGAGAATGTGCCGTGAACATAGATTACATTGAATATACATCCATATCCTTGTCCTCTTGGCGTGAATGTCGGCACCTAGGCGCCATGATTCGCAATATCTCTTGCCAAGCACATCTTCAGTTATCGTAAAACCACTTGAGAGCTCTCACCTGACATGTGTGAAAATCTCCGCATGATAAGAAGTGAGTTGTTTTCCCACCCGACCTCATAAATTACTGTGACTTTGATAACCTGTCCTTGCCCGGATGAATGATGTATAAACTAGGGAGGTTTGTTTTTGACTCAACAAAGCAAGCTACGGATTTCACGCTAGCCAAACTAGTCCCATGGGAAAGAGGATCATTTTGAATGCATTTATTGATAAGCATTTCCCGTGCGAGGAACGCAGGGAAATATTTCTCAGGCTCCCGATCCTCCATGTCTACACCCACGCACCTTTGAATTTTTTCACTCGCCCCCTTCCTCCTCAAAGTGATGTAACCTTGTATGTTGGTATTCAGGTGTGGTTCCAGAACCGGCGAACGAAATGGCGAAAGAAGCACGCAGCGGAGATGGCATCCGCGAAAAGGAAGCAGGAGGAAGCCGCAGACAAATTCCTCTCTTCCCCTTCTGCGGAAGGGAGGGGAGGGGGTGGAAGCAGCGTGGAGGACGAAGACGAGTTCTCCGATTCGGCCTCCAAGCGCCGCAAAATCCATGGTGGTGATCCCGACGGCTCAGGGTCCGCTCACCTTCATCATCATCATCATCATCTTCATTCGGCGCTGTCATAAGGTCCAAGGGGGTGACAGGGCTCCTCTGTGCAGTGCTGTGGTAACGCTTATTCTCTGCCTCCCGGTCAGTCATGAACATGTGCCAGAAGGAGAGAGAGAAAGAGAGAACGCGAAGACACACTACAAATATCCTTATTTACAGGCGACTTACACGTAGGTCCTGGCGCTTATTTCACACGTTCACTCTCCGTCTCCAGTCGTGTTTCATTGTGATACGCAAAAAAAAGAAAGAATAAAAGAAGTAAAGAAACATTGGCAGTGTGTGCAGTCTCGATGGACAGACGAATTCTAGTATGTGAAGAGTGTGATCGTTGGGATGACGAGGTTCGTGTGTGACTCTGCATTCATGCCAATGCATATTGTGAGTGTCTACCAAAGTGTATGTATCCCAGAATCTAGAGGCAGCAATAAGATTCTCCTGTTCTGAAAGTACAGATTTTTGTTTCATCATTTTGTGCACCGTTATGCTATTTACACACAGGTGTTCTTGGTGAGATGGGAATCAACCACGATTCAAATATACGCAGAACTCAGCTTCGGATGGGGTTCAAAAAACCTCTTTTGTCAGACTGTCACCTAATGACGTGATCTCTGGTGCTGGTGATGCGCTGCATCAAATACTGGTTGTCTAAAAAAAATTACTCTTAGAGCAGGGAAGGAAGGCCCGTTCTTCTCTAGATTTATATAGGTTGCTACGTAAGTCTTTGTTTCACACGATGGCAACCAAGGAATCCAAACTTGCAAAACTAAATTAATAATACTCGGATGTAAATGGAAATCTTGAAAGGTACACGGGCACACCACACGTACTTGGCCAGGGATAGACGCACGGGTGGGACGACAGAAGAACCGAGCTCAACGAAACATTTTCTTCCATTCAACTTCGTCGCTCCAATAGGAAAAAAAAAGAAAACCTCTAAGCGTGATAAAATTCAGTAGTGTATATTTTACAATTTTGCTATCAATAACGCCGTATAAAAGAGACATCACCGAGTCACTACAAGTCCTTGATTGCTGTATGCAAATACTCTTGCAAAAAGGAGATGCAAGGTCAGAGAGAGGAAGAAGTAAAGGACTCCTGGAAGAAGTAAAGGACTTGCTGCTCCTTTTTTACCCCTTTGTCAAGATAGGGCAATCAGGGACTCGGTGAATCTCCTTCACCATACGTATTCCTTCGGTCCCGCCCAACTCCATGATAGTGTATTGGTATGGGCAAGAAGGGCGCACGATCCCCGAATCCTAGGTTGAGTAATATCATTACGCATCGGAACGTCGTCAGCGGCAGGATGTGAAAGGCGGGCCCGACGATGATGTGCATGACTCTGGATGTGTTGTCCAGCAGAGTCAATGTAATACGGAAAGGAGAAGACACGGTTGTCTCTTTGCATTTCCGCAGGCCGTAGACAAGCGCAGAGAGAGAGATGGAAGACCGGAGTAAGCCAAATCTGCGGGGAGGCCCCAATAACTGAATTGATTTCAGGACTGCTGCGCCCAATCTATCACATTAATAGGACAGGGCTGGTTTCCTCTGAACGCCTCGCTGCCTGATTGGCCGACCTAATGGAATGAAACGCCATAATGTGAGCTCCATTGTCGGAATGAAATCGCTAATGGATATCCTCATGCTTGATCGTTTGAGCAGCGGGAATCCCCGGAGCAAAGAGTGCGAGGCTCTTCATCTCCATCCCCGCATTATAAGCCCCCGTCTTCTTCAATATAGCGTCATGGAGGCTGCTGTGGCTGCAGAGCTCCTCCCCACAGATGAACTACTCAAAGCAAGTGAGACATTCCCACTGAAGGTGGGCGTCTCTGCAACGTCCAGAAGAGTGGGATTTAGCCTTGTTCGGGAATTCGCTTTGGTCCTAATGACAGAAATTTTAAGTCATGAGGACGATACTGGACGGTCCACGAGGAACCGATTTACTTTTGAAAGGCACCCCGTTTTCTGGAGTAGTGAAAAAGGAAAACTCCGAAAAGGAATGATTTTTGAAGAACTGCCTTATGAAGAGTTTGGTTGATCCCTCGAACGACTCCTGGTGCCTCAGCCTTCACATCGTCAAAAAGATTCCCATTGCTTCTATAAGCCCCAAAGGTTGCAAGGGTGCGGCGACAGCAGAAGAAATTCAGTTGTGACAATTGAAAGGCAGTAACTGGGCACAGAACGTGAAGAGAGCAGCTAGTATCTCGATGTGAAAGATCGTTTCAGAGAAGTTTTCCTCATGAATCACGGGACACGTCGTATAGTCGTAAAGCGGAAAATCGCTGTCATTCCCCATGGCCATTTGTAAACGAGGACGTGGAGCGATATTTTCTCCGGTGAAAAGAAACGTGGCTATTTGAAAAGGTAACCAGAATCTCATTGATGCTGCTGGCGCGATTCTTTCCACGGTGAAATACGGATGTCCAGTAAGGTTTGACATTTTTTTTAATGATTTTGCATGCGTAGACATTGGACTAAAAGTGCATGCACTTGATAACTTTATTTCCCTTCAAAAAATCCTCTCCGACGTCCACAAACTCGCATTCTCATCAGGTAGCAATATTTTTTTTTTAGAGCTTTCAATATTCTAAAATGTTCTTCTCAGCTCTGAATTGATCGTCAGGTCAAGTCATGAATGCGCAAAAACTCCAGGAAGCAGCGATCTAAGTACTGGAAATTTCCCCCAAATTTTCTCTTAAATGCAACTATCACGGCTTTCTGTTGCCTTCAGGATTTGGGGGACAATTCAGAATTGTGAAGTACACCTCAGTCTGAAAGACATGCCTTAATAGTGGTTGATGAAGATGCAACAGTGCATCGATGTTGGAGGAACGTGACGGCAGGAACGAAGTTCATTGCTTTTATATATTAGGAAATAATAAATCATCCTCATAAATATTGCATTAGGATACATAGTGTGACTCTTTCGATAATGGCGATGGACTCCTTCCTTTTTTGATAACTTGGTCTGTGAGCCAGCTACGGAAGTGAATTTCGGTTTAATTTGAAATCGTGTGAGTCTCGCTGAAGGGCAGCGTGAATCGAATTTATTCGCTCTTTTTCAGCGTTATCTATCTAGAGTCGTTACACTCTTTTTTTTTGGGGGCGTTCTTGAGGTCCTTGAGCGGTTTTGAAAATTCCACATGATTCCTCGCGATATAAATTTCAGTCGAGTTGGAATGAGATTCAGTCTATTAGCTCCCGACTAACCAAGTTTCTTAAAAGCAAAGACCAGGGCCGATTGTTCCGTTCCTATCCCAAGATATTTCTAGACTTGAGGGGTGCGTCGGACTCAAAAGACCGACGGTCGCCTTGCATCGATAGTGTTGAAAATTTCTTTCGAGTCCGATTTCGCAATCGAATATGATGGGGATGGGAATATCCCACGATGGTAAGAGATTCTCGTTTTGGCATCTACAAACCACATCCCGCTCTTTTCTTTTAAACCTGTCGTTTTCGCTGCGTCCTGTCAGCGTTTCGTAAACAAAAAAAAACTATATAAGAATGTTATATCTATTAAGCTCCCGGTGAATATCAGTCCAAAGCTTTAGCTTTGTATTGCGCTGCTGAGAAATACGACATTTTAAACCCACGCTCGAGAACTCACTCGATACCCTGTACACAGCATACCTCATGCAATTAAGTTTCCCAAAGCACACCGTGAGCCTCAAGCAAGAGACGTCTGTTCACGTGGTGCAAGTGAACATGGCTATACGATGCAAGCATCATATGGCCATGCCCGACCACAAGACGCAGGCGAGCATGGCCATATGATGCCAGCGAGCATGGGAGTTCCGTTCCATACGAACGAACCAGATCCGCAGGAGGACGAATATGAAAGCGTCACTTCATTGGCCTTCCCGAGAAGCCGCAGGTGGCATCTCGGGACGTGAACTGTCTATACTATACATTATCTATATCCCCTGAGCCCCAGAGTAGGGCTTCGATGGGGAATCCAATTATGATAGGATGAGGAAGGTATCTATTACTTCCTCCTACTCCCTCATGAAGTGGATTAAGCCCTGGAAAAGCGGTGGGATTTTTTCCCTCGAATGCCTCTTTTTCATCCATCTAGACACCAACGACAGGAGAATCCCTAATTACAAGGCTTTACCCTCCCCAGAGGCAGTAAGATTTCTCGGGGGGGGGGGGGGGGAGGAAAGTCTTCTTCGTGACTACGTGCTGTTTCCAAGGGCTGTTCCACGATCGTGAGTCCTTTTTCCTTGATATATGATTATTTTGTCCTCATCTGAGACGTTGCGTATTTTGTAACTCGTTCGCCTGAGAAATAATTAATCTCCTGCCAGGTTGCTTTAAGTTAATTAAATGCGATTAACCTGCTTTTCCCGATTAATGAAACGTTCAGAATGCATCAGAATCATCAAAATAAAGTACATGGAACCGTTCGGCTCCGTTATTGGACCTGAAAAATTCGTAAATATGGAACACGATGGAGAAGGGGATGACACAATTGCAGTAGCAGGTGTTTGCAAACGTTTCCATCGTCTTCGGGGCAAAAAATAAAAAATAAATCTTAAGATACGCGTAGCATTGCCATACACTTCTAAGCGATAGCTGACGCACTCTGAAGATGACACGGATCATGCTCTGAAACGACACTTTTGAGTCATTCGCCGCCTTCTAAGCGTAGTGAGGCTTGCCCAATGCGAGGCCGCTCGGATCCTGACGAGGCAGGATCCTCCCTTTTTGTTGTCGGGACGCTTCGCTCCTAATCGGGGCATTCCGTCCGGCTTTCTGTGCCGCGGTGAAAGGACCGTGAGGATTTCGTATTGTCGGGGCGCACGGTCCGACCGGCTTCGCCTTGTAACATCCGAAACTGCTGGAAGAAGCCATTGTCTGTTTGATAATAGTACGTGCCGAAGCCGTGGGAGGACAAAGCCAAGGGGGATTCCTGAGAAGATCGTGAAGCCAAAACTTCACACTTCTTTCTGGGAATTAAGGGATACAGGTAATGCATTCGGTCGTCGGCTGCTTGGCAGTTCGTGCGCAATGAGGACAACAACAGGCCGCAGGACACATTTATGGAGTCTCCAACGCAAGACGACGTTCGCGACTTCGCCCTCGAGAGCGACATGATGCCGCGAAGAAATGTGCAGGAAGCGGTTCTCGCGGTCGTGTTAACCTCGGTTTTCTCCACTCTGTTTGCGAACAGATTTTCATTTCCCGCCTCTGACTCACATCACGTTTCGTGAGGCAATTTTTCGTGTTACTGGGAATTTCTTCGCGTGGCAGAATGTCTTCTCCTCGATTCATCGCCTGTGAAATAAAAATCGAGCATAACAGAATATTTGACACGCGGTTGTGAAAATTAGCGGCAGTTATGGAAAAATTGTTCCCTTGCGGTTTTCGCATTCACCATTTTCTGGTGCTTAGGACTCATACGCTCTCCAAGCGAGACGTAGATTACGAGTACAGGAACAGATAAGAGGTTTGATCAAGTGGACGAACATGTTTCCCAGCGCTATTTGTCATTCTGACAAATTGCTAAAAATGTAATTAAAATCTAAACGACACGAGTTTTTGAACCTCCTGCGCCAGAATGCGTAAAGCGTATCCACCGCGAACGTGGCAGCCACGTGGCTGGCACGGATGGCGTTCGAGTACAACTGCGTCTGGCAAGGTAATACGCGTCTGGCAACGCAGGTAAGGCATTCATTCTTTTAACTCGGTCAAATATTTTTGAGAAACTGAGGGAAATTTTACAATTTCAATTTCCATGAAATATTATGAGGTGATCACCTCTTAAAAATGAGTTCCTTCTGAACTGGCGAAGTATTTTACAAACGAATTCTTCGGCGTGCACGCGACTGACACTGCCTCGCCCGACCCCCCCCCCCCAGAACCTTCTGGCGGTGACGTCACTCACGAATTCCGCGTCAGACGCCTTTCGACTCGCTTCAGAGAGTCGAAAGGCGTTTGAAGAGTGCACGAGGGTTTTGGGAGGATCGGGCGACGCAGTGTCATCCACCCGCTTCCCTTTTGTCTTTCGCCTCTGGGGTCTTTCGGCTAAATTTCCCATCGGCGGAAATGTTGTGTGAGGTTCTGAATCTCCTTGAGTGATCGGATGAATTCTTTGAAGTAGGGTCGTCGAACTTGGAGTTGGGTACCCCTAACCTGGCGAAACTGGTTTTGAGGTTGAAAATGCTTCAGATTGAAACTCTTGCGATCCGCTCCGCTATTCCAGATTCTTTAGCAAAATATCAACAAGTCTTTGCAGTCATTGTTCTCCAATGGTGGAAGCAGTTTCGACCGCCTTCGTCATGCAAAGCCTACCGGTGAGTTGTGAGATGCGCTCTAATTTCGGTTGCACATTTGGAATATTTTATTTTCTCTCAAGGATTTTTTTTTTTTAAATAGCCGATCCGACAAGTTTCGAGTCTAACTGCATCTTCCGTCTCGCGATTTCCCCCCGTTACAGCCAAAGTTCGCATCGAGAAGTGATGCGGACGATCGAAGACGACTGATACGAAGTGGATGGGCAATAAAGAAACTAATATGCGCCTGAAAGTATGGGGGGGGGGGGAAAGGGCTCGATGCCTCTCGGCTCGTGGCTTTCCGCACCAAGCATATACAACTTCATCTCATTTCGTGCTTCTCTTTCCCCAATATTTCTCCCTCTCAAGAAGGGGAGCAGGAGCTTAAAAGAGGCGTTATGCAAATTTTTTATTGATAAAAATGCAGCGGCGAGAGGAGGGAGATCATGTAATTTTCCAAGCTAATGCGCCCTTTTTCTCGGCTCCGCCCTTATTTTCCGTTACATTTATAGCGGGCTTCTGGCCCTCGGCCGGGAAACAAATAATGAAAATGTTCTTCCTTCCTTCTTTTCCATTAAGTATGGAAATAAGATGCTATAATTCAGGCCTCTGACACGATGCTCGATATTCTTGAAATGTGCCTCATCCATTCTCGGGCACGGGGTAAGAGACAAAAGTTTTGCATAATGTCCGTCCCCGTAGAGACCGGGGCGTGATACCATATATCCCCTGATGGATGGCCACTTTATATCTGGACATATTATTGATGGAATTATATCTTCTAGCTCATGGAGATGTTTCATCATGTCACCTCGCCCAGATGGGAGTCGTTCGGGCCGATATTCCCGTTGGAACCAGTATATCCATCAGCCTTATGGGTCTCTTCTATCTTGTCTCCCTCCAATCCTGGACTTTCTTCTCCTGTCCCTCACGAGCACGAGGAAATGAGGAAGTGGGTCTGGCCTGCGTCGAACCTCACAGCCCCCTGCCCCCCGACCGTGGGGTGGGGGGTGGGGGGGGCATATGAATGACGGTAATTGAAATCGGTGTACCGGGTAAAGAGGATTCATTTGAGGCGAGGCCTAGGAGCATAATTCAGGGATTAGACATTTGCATGGAGGCCAATTGGTGTCTCCCCCCCCCTCCCCTCCCCCTGCCCCCGGCCCCCGTCCCCCTTCCCCCTCCCCCCCTCTCGATCCGATTCAAGCTTGCAGCTGCCAATCAGGAAAGTGAGCTTTTACTCCTCCCCGGAGCTGTGTCAACATTACGTCATAGGACCAACACGATGCTTTTTGTTCTTGGCTGTAAAGTTGGATATCCCAACCAGATTGTGCACATTTCATTAAGTGGGATTCCATTAATATGCAAATGAGCGTGCAGATGCTGCCATGGGACATTGTTCTGTTAATCAAGCTTTGAAATGGGCGCCTAATTACTTGGCTCGAACTTTATGGGCTTCTATATTAATTCGAATATTAAGGAGTAATAAAGACGCAATTAGCGTCGCCCTCATCAATATCTGCTCCAAAAACGGCTGTTAAAATATGAGCCTCGTTTTTATCAGCATAAATCACGAAAGAGCTTCTCCGCCTTCCATCGATCCGAAGACGATCATTCCGTTCGACTTCGCTTCGAGAAACAACTCGGCGACGCACAGTCTCGATCGAATTTTTCTTTCTGCATTTACAGTCTCATCGGCATCGGCTGTCGTGTATTTCTCTTTCGTTTTTTCCTTCCTATTCTCCCTTGTTTCCCCCCTTGACGATGCGTGTCGACGCGTCCCAGCGGGAGGACGGAGGGCAGCTCCCGCCACCGCGGACCGAGGACCCACGCCCCTCGATTCCTCGTCCGTTCGGGCGTGTCGCGTCTTCCCGCACCGATCCGGAGGTGAGGTCCATCTCGGCCGTTGTCACGAAGGAATGCGCGAGGTGCCGGAGATGGGAGGGAAGGAATGCATGGGAGGGGCGGTGCGGCCCGTCCAAAGGAATATGGACGCATGTCATCCCGTGACATCTCAATGTAGATTTTCCACGTTTCAATGCCTTTTTGCTTGCTCTTACCGGTTCTTCGTTTTGCTCAGAGGGGATACAGCGTGCGATTCGCGTTAAATTACTGCTTTTACATGTCGCTTAACCGAGTTTTTACCTCCTTCTTTTGTGTTTTGCGGGAGAGGAGCCGGCGGGACAATTAATCATTCCGGAACCACAGCTGTCTGATTTGCACATGCTGACTGCGGTGAAGACATCATTTTTGGTTAGAATTTCGTACCAAAAAATTTTCTCACGACCACGACAATTGTGTCATCGTGACGAATTCGTCCACTTCGGGTGACATCATTTTGTTGGTCAAGCAGGATCAAGACGGGCAAATTGAAGTGAAAATTTGAGAGCTTTCTATGCGAAGATCGGCAACTCAACATCAGTCGATGCCCAGTGTCTCCCAGACTGCTAAAGATATATTGAGCTGAAACGATGAATTGAAAATCAACAAGTGGTAGCT